GGAAAGGCTAATATATTCCATTACAATATTCATTGAGTCAGTAATTAATTGTGAGCTGAGCAGTGGTGGTTCACACCTACAATCCTAGCTACTCTGGAGGTTGAGATCTAAGGATCATACTTTGAAGACAGATCAGACAGGAAAGTCTGTGAGATTCTTTTCCCCAATTAGCCACCCAAAAAGCCAGAAATGGAGCTGTGACTCAAGTGGTAGAGTGCCAGCCTTGAGCCCTTAGCCTAGAGTTCAAACCTCTGATCTCCCTCTCATAGCTGATAGTTTTTCAGGGTAAGGGAAAGTTCATTTCTCTTCTTTGAGATCTATTTGATGAGTAATTTTAAGGGCTATAGTTTAATGGTCTTGAGTAATTAAGAAAAGCTATGTTGATCCCAACTTGAATCCACAGAGCATGAATTTCATAAACACCTCCCACCCCCCAAAAAGGAAAAGGGGAGGAATTTAAGTCTTAAAAATCAAGTGGCAGCCAGGTGCCTGTGTCTCATGCCTATAATCCTAGCTACTCAGGAGGCTGAGATCTGAGGTTCTGAAGAGCTCTGAGACAGTGCCCAGTCCCAGAGTTCAAGACCGACCAACAACAACAGAAAATCAGAAGTTGTTGTCAGGTACTCATGCCTGTAGTCCTAGCTGCTCTAGAGGCTGAGATCTGAGGATCATGATTCAAGGCCAGCCCAGGCAGGAGACTCATCTACAATTAACCACCAAAAAGCCAGAAGTAGATGTGTGGCTTAAGTGGTAAAGCATCAGCCTTGAGTGAAGACACTAAGTGACATTGTCCAGGCTCTGAGTTCAAGCCCCAGGATCAGCAAGGAAAAAAAAAAACTAAGTTTTTAGGACAATCCTATTTCAAAATATCATTCCATATGTGAAGAAGTAACGTGTTATTATGATTTTAGAATTTCTTCTTTACTGCCTGAGAAGCAGCTCTGTTTTTCTCTGTACTTATTCAGTGAGAAATCAGACGCACAAAGAAGCCCAGGCCTGGATCAAAGGCACATAAACAGCAGGAAGTGTTGAAATACAAGCCAGGTCACTGGGCCTTCATGCAGGTCCATTCAGCCTAGTACCCCCTTCCTTGGAAATCTCTGTCCTGGATAGTGAAGCCAGCTTTGCTGTCTGCTGCCAAAGTGTCTTCCTTCCAGGGCTCTCTGATTATTTGAGAAATTGACATGTGTATTTCTTTTTCTGCATTAATAACCAGGTACTCTATTTAATCCTTTGAAGGATTATGAGGAGGTTGTTCCAGTTAGAATTTTTTTTCCTTTCTTTTTTTTTCTCTTTGTAACCAAAACTCTCTCTGACTCAAGTCACAAGGACAAAATGCCGTGGCATTCGAGGGAGAGGCCGCCTTTGCATGTGGCAGCTTTTCAGAAGGTCGAAGTTTCTGGAAGGAAGGCATGCAGAGGCTCTCTGCTGTACTTAATTTTAGAAACGTCTTAATTTTAATGTGTTGTCCATGGCACAAAACAAATTTTCACTGGGAGACTTTTGTGGTGTTTGAGGTAACAGCTCTTATGTTTCTAGAATCTCATCCCCACCAGGCCAGCAGGAATAATTCCCTCTGTCCTGGAGATTTTCTTTGGCATTCCTGGCTTCCAAAGTACTTTATAGCAATGGCTAGACGATATTGAATTTCCATGTTTAGATCTACACCCCAAACTTTCACATTTTTCTTTTTAAATTGCATAGTAACACTGAACTATTACTGAAGTTCATAGAAAAACCTGAGATTTTCTGTGTCCTTTGCAAATGCTTGAGATCTGTATAGCTATACATTTCCAGCGATCTCAGCCAGACCTTGCTTATTTCTATTATTATTATTATTTTAATGAAGGAAAAGGGAAGAGAGAAACCTTGGTTTCATCATTCAGTTCCAAAAGTTCAGTAATAGTTTCTGGCCTGTGTTTCTAAAAAAGAAATTGGATCATATCTATTATTATCTCTCCTAAGACATCTGGTGTACACTTTTTTTTTGTTTTTAATGCTAGTTTCAGGGCTTGAACTCAGGGCCTGGATGCCATCCCTGAGCATTTGTGCTAAAAAATAGTGCTCTGCCACTTAAGCCACACCTATTCTGTCAGGTTGGGTAGCCAGAAACCATGAGCTTAAACTTGAACTGGGAACTATGGGAGCATGCCTTAAATACAGATTGAAGTCTGTCCCAAATAATAACAAGACTTTTACAGTACCTCTGACTTTGATATCACCTCTCTGATTTGTGTGAGTGTGCATGCACCCGTGCGTGCGTGCTGGTACTGGGGCATGAACTCGGGGCCTGGGTACCGCCCCTTTGTTTTTCCCTCAACTCTGGCACTCTGACTCTGGACTCAACCTCCTCTTCCAGGTTTTTATTGGAGATAAGAGTCTCAGATTTGTCTGCCCCAGCTGGTTTTGAATGGAGACCCTCAGACCTCAGTTTCCTGAGTAGCTAGGATTACAGGCATGTGCCACCCATGCCCAGTAGAAGTCTTTTAATTGATGTGTTCCCTGTGTGCTAAAAGAAATTTACAGTTGATTAGAGAGGAGACAATTCTTTCATTGTCTTTTTATACTGTTGAAGAAGCCCAAGCTTCATTGTGTCTGTAGAGAAAATTACAGAGGAAAACAAACTAGGAAATGTGAAAGCTAATGCTAATGTTTATTTTTAAACTAAAATTAGGAGATGTTTCAGAGCAAGTACTTTGTAAAGTAAATATAGGGTTCTGTAATGAGTAATAGAGAAAGCCGTAAAAACAGGTGACTGTTATCAGCATATATTTGTGAGCTCAACCCTAATGGAAGGAAAAGACAGTTTGGGGAAGTGACTTACTTGTTTTGTAGGGCACAAGTGTTCCCATGTTTAGTATGCCTTCTTGTGGTATATGAGGTCTTGTAGCACCTTTCTGTCTTACCATTTACTTTCAATCCTAAACTCTTCTGTACTCATTTTATTTAATAGTCTCTATGTAGGTGGGGAGATCCTAGGCCCACGTAGGCATCTCTTTCCTTCCTCTGATAGGAGCCTTCCATATAACTGGTGCATGATTTCCAAGGAAAGGTGGTTTATACTCAATGTTAGGCAGAACTCAATGAGTAAAGGAGAGAGAGAGAGGGGGAGAGAGGAGAGAGAGAGTGTGTGCTGGTACTAGGATTTGAACTCAGAGCCTTGTGGTCTTACATGGCTTTTTCACTCAAGGTTGGTATTTTACGACCTGAGCCTCATCTCCACTTCTACTGATTATTAATTACTGATTAATTGCCTATATCATTCTTTAAGAAAAGCAAGCTGAATTAGGATCTAAGGATGTGGTTCAAAGCTAGCCCAGGCAGGAAAGTCCATGAGATAGTTATGGAAGTAGAGCTATGGCTCAAATAGTAGAGTACCAGCAAAAGCCTGGTGAGAACATAAGGGCCTGGGTTCCATGGCTAAGTACCAGGAGACAGAGAGAGGGAGAGAGGGAGGGAGGGAGGGAGGGAGGGAGGGAGGGAGAGGAGAGAGAGGATAGGAAAGTCACTTAACACATACAGAGTAAATTCCCAACATATATTTTGCCAAAGATAAAGTGGTGTTTTATTATTTAGTCACAGTGTAAGAGGATTAACTTTGGGTTCTTAATGGAAATTAGTCAACTCTAGAACCTTTAGAGATAAATCGAGAATTGAGATGTGTCTTCTGTTCATAACTTTATATTTGGGTTAAACCTCAGATAGAACTTTATGTATTGATTGGCAGCTAAGTCTCAGCAGTGCTTCCTAGAGTATGAATATTATTATCCGGTAATCTTGCATTGAAAAAGAAAGTGAATTTTTTGAGAATTCAAACTGATCCAAAGATTTAAAAACATTTTTGTCTTTTTATAAAATACATGCTTATTTATTTAGCATCTTAATACACGTCACTTCCAATAGAGTAAATCTATTTTCACAACAAAGATGAAGAGATTTGTTTGGCTTATTTTCCTTGGTTGGTGAATGTGGCTGCAGGCCTGCTTTCTATAAGATGTGTCTGTTTTAACTTATGATTTTGATTTGAGTCATTTATTAACCAGATAGACCTTTAAAAATAGAATGTTTGCTTACAGAATTTCTTGTGTATACAGTTGAATATATATTTAAATGATGTAGGATTTATGAAAAGCATGTAAGATATTATTGAAAACATGTCAGTATAGCATAAATAAAGCTAAAAAGGAAAAACATAAAGATAATAATAGTCTAAACCTCTCCAGTGAGCATGTGAGAAGACCACTGTTCTAAGTACTATGATGGCATCTTTATGTTGAACTTGGTTGGGTCCTAGGATTCAGAGTATCCAATTAAGTTTGTCTAGTTTCAAGCTTTTTGCTTTTTTATGTATAATCCTTGAGATCCTGACTCACCCACTTTACTTATACCTTTAACATTAGGGGTGCGCCCCTCCTGGGGGGGACAGTGGTTCATGTTTGAAGTTGCTCAGAGGTGCCATCTGCTTTTACTTGACTTGTGGTCTTAGAGCACATGCTTGGCCCATGGGGTATTGCCATGTGCCGAGAGGATGTGGAGTTTTGTCAGTCGGCAAAATATGTCTGGCTTTTTTTTTTTCTATTTCTTTTCTCTCTGTCTCTCTTTCTCTTTCTTTGTCTCTCTCCTTTTCAAGCTACTTTCATATGTTCCTTGTCCTGGGTGGTCTTCATTGAACTGAATTTATATTGAACCAGAACTACTCGTTCTCTTTATCATTTTCTGTGACTTGCCTTTGTTTTGTTTGTTTGCTTTTTAAAGGAGAAGGTGTGTGGAAGGAATATCTGAGCCAAAAATACTCCACAATCTTAGCATTAGGAAAACCTAAACCTTAGAACCGAATGAGTGTGATATATAAATGTGTCTTTCTACTCACAAATACATACTTAGTAATACAGAACTGCTATGGTTCAAATATGCACAACTGTCAAAAAATTCCCCATGCCAACAGCAGATTCCTAAGTTTTATGTGTGTATATGTGTTTTTTTTTTTTGCTTGTTTTTAGGGATTACTGCAGTCTTCAGTGAAGCAACAGGTAGAAAGTATTGAGAAACAGTACATCTCTGCTATTGAGAAGCAGGCACGCAGGTGTGAGGAGTTGCTAAATGCTCAGGTAATGAGAGTGCATCCATCACTGATTTTCACTTTGCTTCTGTCCCTTTCTCCACCCTTAAGATAACTGCAACTTCGTGCCTGTTACAAAGGGGGAATATACATATGTACATATTGACATACATGCACACACATAAATATATATGGACTACATTAGGATATAAACTTAAGTACATAGATATTTATGAATATGCTAGCTCACTCTGACAATTGTAATTGGTTTTATTATACATTTTTAAGTGTCCACTTAACAAATAACTTAGAAATAATGCATAGGGAAATTAGAAATTTAGTGTAACAATTGTACTATTTTGGATGATGAAAGATTTGGTAGTCAGAGGTAAGTACATACCTTTATAAACAGAAAAATAATAGAATTAAGTTCATAGAATTTTGAAACAACACAAGGCATATATTAATCAAGATAGGGTCTATTTAGACAGCAGAAGTATATTTGTGTGTATTTGTGTTTGTGCACATGTGCTAGTACTGGGGTCTGGGTGATCACTTTTAGGGTTTTTTGCTCAAGGTTGGTGTTTTACCACTTGAGCCAAATCTCCATTTTCAGTAGTTTACTAGTCAGTTGGAGATTAGTCTCATGGGTTGGCCTGACTTTGAACTACAATTTTCAGATTATAGGCATGAGCCACCAGTACCTTGCTGTGAAAGTACCCATTTCTTCATAAAGCTAAGTACTAAGATACCATGACCATGGAAGGGAGAAAGCAGGAAATATTCGGTGATTGTCATAAATGTACCACATTCTTGCTTTTGGGTACCATGTACTTGAAGTCCTGATTGCAGAGGAAAAATCACAGGGTCAGTGTCTGAGGAGAAAATCTGAAGGCCTTCAGCTTCCAAGTCCAGGATCTCTGGGAGAAACAGGCCTTGACTGGATATGCTGCACTGTGCATGAACATTTACCTCCCGTTTATCTTAATATACACTAAGATAAAGGTAGATAAATACTCATTCAAAATAGGAGAGAGGGAATGAGGCACGGGGTTTTTGCGTGTTAGCAACTCTGAAATCTCTCAGACAGAGATTCATCTGCTCTAGCAGAATTGATTGGTGACTTTTGTTTGGTCTTGTAAAGTTGTTTTTTTTTTTTTTAAATTTTCAGTATCTTGGTTATGTTCAACATGGGTATTGAAAATGATACTATTGCTCAGACTGCTTCCTATCTATAGAAAATTGAGAGCCAAATCATTTGTTAGTGCATAGTCTCAAATAAGCTGAATGGTCCTTTGGAGGTTGATTTCAAAGATATTTTACATTTTTAAGGATTTTTTGACATCATTACCGTATGAATATTTGTTTTTGTTTTTTAAGTCTCTCCTAGTGTTTTAACTTACACTTTTGAAATATTTGGGGCTTTTCCCACCAAGAATCTGTTCTCCACCTTTCTGGACATAGCAAATGTTCTACAACTCAACTCAATGCTAAGGTTTTCTCTCCTCCCTTCCTCCCTTCCTCCCTGCCTACCTCCAGTGGTAGGATTACCCGGGGTACCCATATTTCTGTTTGGCCTGGCTGCAAAGTTAGAGGTCTAATTGCTGTCCCCTTCAAGCCTGGTCATTTGCTAGAAGGGCCCACAGGCCATGCTTGCTTTTACTGGTTTCTTATACAGGGCATTGCTCAGGAACAGCCAGATAGAAGAAATGCCAAAGACAAGCTGGTAGGAGGAAGGGACAGGTGGCTTCCATGCAGGCTGTGGGCATACTACCCTCATGCACATTGCTGTGTTCAAGCAGGAAGCTGCCCCAGGGCTTAATTTAGGAGTGGTTGATAGAGCGCTTGATGCAGCCCGTAGCTCTCTCCCTTCTATAGCGGTGGCCCTGGGGATGGTGAGCAGGTATTTACCTCTATTCTTGCTTTGTCTTTCTGGCCAGCCTCCAATCTCATCTGAAGTACTCTAGGAGCCCCTAGTCACCAGCCCTGTTATTAGCACAGTGAAGAAATTCTGGTCCCTGGGAATCCCAAGGGTTTTAGAACCTGTGTGCCAGGAGCCAGAGACAAAGGCCCAGTGTCCTTTTAATAAGCATTAGTGACAAAGAATATAATTTCAATTGGTGTAACAATTCAAAGTGAAATAATTAATATGCAAATCAATTCAAGGGACTAGGGGTCCTTTGTATTCAGTGTAGAAGAATTAATGAACCAAATATGAGTTCTGTCGAGATTCATGGGGTTACATGTGGTTTGAACTGTGAGAAGAGGATGTAATACTAAATTCGGAGTTCTTCATTTGAGTGGGCTGGGCACCGTAGTACAAACCTGTAATCCCAGCTACTTGTAAGGTAAAATTGGGAGGATTATGATTCAACACCAGCCTCGGCAAAAGTTAGTGAGACCCCCTTCTCAACCAGCAAGCCCAATGTAGTGACTCACACCAATGATCTGAACTACTTTGGAGATGAGTAGTAAGATGACCCAAAAATTCAAGAAAACGATGGAAGCAACATGGGTTGGGCTCCAGTGGTTAAAGCACCTGACTAGCAAGTGCAAGGTCCTGAGTTTAAAAAAGAAAAAATTCTTCAGTTGAGAGAATATAAATATTATGTGCCCAAGGAAGGGTTCGAGTGGACAATCTTTCACATTGTCTGGCAGGAAAGTGAATGCCACTAAAATATACAGGGACGTGATCTGTGTCTATACTTGCATTTACAAATATTACTGTGTTACCACATAAAATGAAATTAATGGGGGGGGGGCAATGAGAAGCACATAAGTCAGTTAAGCCTGCTATTTTATTTATACAAGGGAGAATGTTGGTGGCCCAGGCTGAAGTGCCTGAGTGGGAATGGAGATTTTGGTGGTTTTGAATGAAATTAAAGAGCAGAAACCAGAGAATTTGTGTGACAGTTGGACAGACAGTAGATATTGATCCACAAAGAAGATTATTTACATATACATATATATGAACGTAGAAATATATAAATACCTATTTATATATTTGAGTAATTTCTTTTGGATAAGGCCCAGATATTTGGTTTTGGCAACATTGTGGAATGGAATTGAAGACACAGCACTGTGTTAGTGTTGAAAATTTTTTTTGAACTGTTGGGTTCATACTGCCTTTGGAATATTAAGATCAGAGTCTTTTGGGCAATGAATACTTAGTCAGAGTTTATAAGAAAGTTGGTAATAGATGCATTTAAAAGTCATAAATAGAGCCAGTTGCTCATGGCTCACGCTTGCTGTCCTATCTATTCAGAATTCAGGAGGCTGAGATCTGAGGATTGTGGTTCAAAGCCAGCCCAGTCAGGAATGTCCATGAGATTATCTCCAATTAGTCGGCAAAAAGCTATGGCTCCAATGGTAGAGTGCCAGCCTTGAGTAAAAAACAAAAAACAAAAACCCAAGGGACAGTACCCAGACCCTAAGTGCAAGCCTCAAGACCAGCACATGTGCATGTGCACGTGTGTGGGTGAGTGCATGCACAGTAATTTGCTGTGAAAATGATTGGCACTTGGTTATCAAAGATGCAAAAAGAATGTAATTAATGCAACAAACCCCATCAGTCAATGGTGCCATTTAAATTATTCTAGGATGGGAGCTCCTCTTCTAGAATTATCTGGAGCCAATATTAGGTTGAATGCAAACTCTGTGCATTTTATAAACTATTGATGTCAGCCACAATTTCCTCATCTCTTAAGAATTACTATGTTTCTTCAGTGGAATTCAGCATGCCATAAACAGGCATGAGCACCTAGATGGTGTGCTTTAGAAAGAGTTGAATTAGAGCTGTTGAAAGTATTATTTTATTAATAGATTAATACTGTAATATAGTTTAAAGCCAGTTTTTAAAATGCAATTTTTTTCTAAAGTAGGTTAAATAACTAGATTCTTGAAAAAGAAAGTAAAGTGTTGGATACAAATGGTTTAAAATAAGATATTTGAGGTTGTTAATACATGCAGCCAAATTTTGAAACATTCTGAGTGTTTGTTGAGAACTTTATATATAGTGAGGACAGAACTTAGTGCAGAACATGAACCATCAAAATAGTGGCAGAATGTAAAAGAAAATCAAATTCAATGGTTCATTATAGATACGTCAGTAAGTAATGACATTTAATGTAGGTATTTGTCATGATATATCAAATATATTATGTCATTTATTCATTTTTTTATTCAGTATACATTTAGTTTTCCGGTATTCTACAAGAACACGAAACAGTTTTACATGTTTTATATAGATGAACCATGTAGCTGGGTCCCGGAGATAAAACAATTACAAACAAATTCTATTGTCACCCAAGATGACACCTCAGTGTGAAAAGCCAAAGAAGCATTGAGTAATTATAGTAAATGAAGAATAAAGCTCAGGAAGCTGTAGGCGTCTTCACCGGAGCATTTAATCACACTTTATCCTACAACATTTGTGCGGAAATTTCAGAACCAAGCCAGCTTATAAAACTATCTTCATAGTAAATCTTACACTGTAACAGCTTCAGATCCAGTTGGATTCAAGCAAACTTGTCATTTACTTATTTTAAAAAAGATGTCCTAAGAAAAATATAAACACATACTGCTGTGCCAATCAATGCCAATTAAATAAAGTAGCAACATCAACAGACTACTCTTTTTGTGTGGGTGTGTACGTCATGGGACTTGAAGTTAGGGCCTAGGCACTGTCCCTGAGCTCTTTCACTCAAGGCTAACACTCTGCCACTTTGAGCCACAGTACCACTTCTGGTTTTCTGGTAGTGAATTAGCGATAAGAGTCTTATGTGCTTTCCTACCTGGGCTGGCTTTTTGAACCATGATCCTCAGATCTCAGCCTCCTGAGAAGCTTGAGCCACCAGCACCCAACTAAATTATCTATTCTTGTTCTTGAGAATATTGAGGAAAAATATATCACAAGTCATTCTGTAAGTGCATTTTCATTAATAGAAGTCAATCAGAAATGGAAGATACTGACCAGGAAATATTTACTTAAAATTTATAGTTAGGAACACCAATTCAGCACTCATTATGTGCCAAATACTATCGTAGGGC